TTTTTGGGCAATTGCAGGTTGTTGTGAGGGATTTTGAGGGATTTTTGGACAATTGTAGGTTGTTGTGAGGGATTTTGAGGGATTTTTGGGCATTTGCAGGTTGTTGTGAGGGATTTTTGGATAATTGAGTTTAATGAATAGAGTTGGGTTTTGTCGAATTTTAATCATGAAAAGAACACCGTTTATGGGAAGAAGAAAAACAGTAACCCATGGGCAAAGAGGTGGCAGATGGATTTGGCGCGATTTCGCCAAGTAGCATGTCACGTGGCAGAAATTTTATACACATCATCATTTTTTTAAGTTTTGCTCTCCACGTCATAAAAAAAAATATAAAAAATGCCACCTAAGCAGGGTTAACGGCTCAAATTAACAGAAGGACTAACGGAGTGCATTTTGTATAGTTGAGGGATCAAAAAAGTGCAAAAAATTGTTGAGGGACCAAAAATGTGCATTTCGTAAAGTTAAGGGACCAAATTTAGCATTTAACCAAAAAATAAATATATATGTATACACATAGGCGTAGGCTGCTTAATTATTATCATCCGACTGGTCAAATCATCTTAATTTGCCAAAACTGAAGCATGATCAATCCTTGTCAGTTGTCACATACAATAATACACGGAGTTATACATGTGGGACAGCAGAGGACGGAATAGATCTTAGTACCCTAAGGCACAAGCCATACATTGAATACAACTTTTATATCCTATATATATATATATATATATATATAAAATATTTTTTAATCTTTGTTCAAGGTCGCAGGAACGCTAGAAATAATTTTTCGTAAGTTTTATTGATAGAACATGTGAATTTAGTATACTATATATAAGTGATGATATATATTATCTAAGGGGAGGAGATTGGGAAACAATTTTCTTATTTTCTAAAGTTAAATGTGCAATATATACGATATATATACCATGACATTAATTCTAAATATACCACTGACCCCCCCCCCCCAAAAAAAAAAAAAAAGAAAAACCAATGTGAGACCACTGTTGTCAAGCACGTCAGTTGAAATTATAAGAGGGGGGGTGAGCACCTCTTTAAATTCAATTTTTTAGAACAAAAAATAAAGGGAAATCAAAGACGGAGAATATATCAGCTTGAAAATTGAATAACATGGACTCATATTCGTTGTATAAATAAATTTTATTTCTTGATAGTAATGGTAAGCAGAAGAATGCGACTTGAAACTACCAGCAATAAATTCTGTCATAAATACATCTTTATTATTATTTTTTTTTGCTGAGTCATTGTAAATGGTAACTCTTTAGTTTAAATTACATCAGATTATAAAATAGAAAACTCTAAAATTAAATTCAAGTTTTTTTTAATGCAACTTAATGACAAAAAAAAGTATATTTATTGACCGAAACCTTCTAAGAACATAAATTAATAAAATGAAAATAATTGATATAT